CACCAGCGGATGAATCAGGGACGCCTGTGGCAGAGCCGGACTATCAGAAAGGGGGGCTATGAGGAGTCTGGGGTGGCATCCCCCCCCCCATCCTAGACCCCTCATAGCCCCCCTTCTGATAGTCCGGCATATCTGATAATCCGGCATCCCCTGGGTCCCAAAGGTGCCGGATTATCGGAAGTTTACTGTAGATCAATCTGGGTACAAAACCTACCTTTCCACTTTTACCATAACCATGAAGCAAACAATAATGATGTTTAACTTGATCATCGAAAAATATTACTTTCTCAAGACAAGTTGACGTGCAGAATTTTGGCCAGAAGAGAATGTGCCCTCCTGAAATAACACACAGTGTTCTGTCAGCACCAATGCTCTAATAATTTTGTGTCATTGTTGCTTGTGTTTAGCTCCTTATAGAAACATAACCAAAAGAACTGTGACTGCCCAGACGACTGCAGGACACAACAAATGGGAGTTAACGTGCCAATCTAAAGGTTATCCTAAGGCAGAGGTTATTTGGAAGAATGGGGAACATCAAGACTTAAGTGACAAAGCAAACACAATTTATGAAACAGGAACTGACCAACTGTACAGCGTGACCAGCACACTTAAAACCAACACAAGTATTAATGAGACTTTTCACTGTATATTTTGGAACAAGGAACTTAAAGAAAATACATCCGCTATTTTAATCATACCAGGTAATGTTTCTCAAGTTAAGTATATTAACTAAGTTTGTCTAGGTTGGATCAACCACAACCTGCATTTTCTATTTGGGACAGGGTGAAGAAATATTTTGTAACAACGGGTGTAGTCTGATGTCTGGTATTTTAGGTCTAATAACTGGAAACTCTTGTGTGCAGGGGTGTATGGTAGGGCATTAATCCAAGCTCTTACACTAACTTCCTATGTGGCATTGGGCAAGTCACAGAACTCCTCTACCTCAATTTCAACATGCTGATAATATCTTGCAGGAGTTGTGCAGGCGTAAAGATAATGATTGCAATGCATTTTGAACACTGAAAATACTAAGTGTTGATATTATTTCCATTATACATGGAGTGGGTGGGTGGTGATTCAAGGTGGGGAGTTCCACAGCCTTAACAGTTATGTGAAAGTTGTATATGAACTTGCGGGTAGAAAATGTCCCAGTCTAGTTGGAGCTGAGAAATGAAACCCTCTTCTCTAACTTAATTATAAACATATTACCCAGAATATACAATTAGGAGATCATAGTAATCAATTCCTTGTTCCTACATTAAATTTACATAAATTAGTACCGGAATCAAAATCTGCATATAGAACAGAGTCAGAGGAAGAGGTTGTATAAATCCCGAAGTTGAGATGAGGGCCCTGGAAACTGTTGGAATAAATCATCAGAGGAAAAAAAATGTTATAGTAAGGGAAGTCTCAATGGGTGATGCTATTTAACAAGGGAGTGAAATGATTTAAACAGAAAATTCCCCAGATGAGATACAGTCCCACCCTGTAAACCTGGGTGTGGAACTCTGCTTTGACTAGTTTTTCCCCTGAGCAGCTATTGTGGTAGCCATTTCCTTGAACATCTACGGAAGAAGAGGGAAAAGCTGAACCGGAGTTTACTCTGTTCACTGGTGATCAAATGATCCCTGACCCCACCACCTTGTCACAGACCCGGGTGCGTTATCCAGTGCATCTCTTTCGATACTACTTACTCCTGAAGCAAATACACTTATTAAATTGTCATCTACCTTGTTTAAAAGGGTTTCTCTTTATTAACTTATCTCACATAGTTTGAAGTGCAGCATCAGGGTGTGTTCCTGAACTCAGATTAAAATGTATGACACCTCTATATTGGTGCATAATCTGTTCTAATTTACACGTAACAGCAGAAAGAGAAAGCAAAAAGCAGGCCGCTTGAATATCATTCCTAAATGCCTAGAACCAAGGCATAATGTGCAGAGTGTATAAATGCGGCATGAACAGGAAGGTTCTGCAGTTCCCTTGGGAACATAGTCACGAGCCATGGGCATATCTTTGTGGCAGTCACAGTTGCTTGAACATCTCAAACTAATTTTTAGCTTTAAAAATATTGTAATTCAATATTAACAATAGTCACATAGTATTGGGTTTTGAAATAATCTGATATAAATAAAATCTATATATTATGTATTTTAAATGGTGACAATTTTTTGTGAAATGTATCCATTTTGTCTAGTTCCATGAACTCATTGATAATCAAGAGGGGGCAAAAGACACTTTAAAAAAATTGTGTTGAAATTTCTAAGATATAATAAAGTTTAAACTGCCCCAATAATTTAAATGATTACTGTAACTTGATTCCTTCCCTAATAATTTTCTTTTAATCCTCTCTCTCTAGGTTATACAGTGGCTAGTCAAAGGATTAATAGTAGACGCTATATTGGAACAACTGTGGCTGTATTTGCTGTCTTTGGATCATTGCTTCTATTTATGCTCTGGGTAAAAAAGGGTATACATTTTTTTACTATATTTTCTTTTGTTTTGTCTGTGGATACTAGTAGGATTGGAATCAGATGGTGATGATCTGTTTAAATTTCTTGCCCCTGACATTCATGATTCTCTTGCTTTTTTAAACTCACAATGCTTCCTTTGTTTTTTCTTAATCTGCCCTCACCATGTATTAACCATTACGGTAGTATTTATCATCTCCCTGATACAATGAATTGTGTGGTTATATGCCTAGAGACAGGTGCTAATGCATCTCTATTGATCAGTCTGGAGGTGATGCTGCAGAGCATTATGACTGCTGCAGAGCATTATGGTGCTTTCCCCATTTGGAAGTGAAAGCATTTTCTACCTTACTGGAGTTCCTAAAGCTGCTTCCAGTTCCTTGGTTTCTCTCATGATATGGAACCTACATGTCATTAGGCTGGCATGATATTTGTCTTTTTTGTTATAGCTTCTAACAAAACTATCTGTCTGAACTTTGACTCAATCACTTTATGAGAGATATACATAAGAGAATTCTAGTTATATTTTTATCATGGCTAAAATGTAGTAAAAATGACCATGAACAGGTATCTGCAAGATTTTTTAAGATTTATATCTGGAAGATATAACGCAACAAGTACTCCCCACCCCTTATAGTGGTTTATCACCAATTTGTTCCATTTTATTTTTTTAATTTATTTTATTTTTAATTGGGTTTTGTTCTGTCAGTTAATTTGAGTGACATAAAAAAACTGGCAGCTTCAGTTTCAGACTGGGTTGCAGAGGGATTACCTGAAAAGTACTGCGAGGCTCAGGGATGACACATACCTCTTATGCTGACAGAGCCACACCAATCTTTCAACTAGAAATAATACAAATCTGTGTGGTATCTTTTTCCATAATGCTGCTCAGTGGAGATATTAAGGTTTGAGCTGTTTAACTATTTCAGGCTATGTAAAACATTCCCCCATTACCACCCCAGCACTGGAAATAACAATACTTTAGTTTCTGGCTAGAAATCACAGTGAACAGGTCTTCCATCATCAAAGTTTATGATAAAGTCTCCATCAGGATTGCATATTCCTAGTCCATCAGGTTAATGATAGCATAACATTGCTGTGAGACTCAGTCCGTCTCCTCACACAAACTTCCCCCACCCCACATAACATGGTGCTATGGAGGTGTCTGTCTCAGGCCCTGTATAAGTGGTTTTACAATCTTCTATAACAGCCCTACAAGTGATGTCAGTTGTTGTGTTAGCAGGCTCCAGGGGGCACTGCAGCTAGCCCTGTTCAATCACTGCCAGTACCTTCGCTGTAAGAGTGTGGTGGGAACTAGAGTACACTGTGAAAGTGGAGTAGGGGATTAGGGGAATCCTTGGTGTCTTAGAAGTTCACCTCCTGCGACTGTGATATTAAGGTCGTGCATTTCCTTTGTTACAAGAGTAATATTTTAGCTGTGCAAATTCCTTGTTGAAGCCCTAAATGCTTTTACTAACAGCAGAGAGATAAGATGGTGATCTAGGTGTGGATTAGCTTCTGTTGTTGAGAGAGACAAGCTTTCAAACATACACAGAGATCTTCTCCAGGTCTGGGAAATGTGCTTAGAGTATTGCAGCTACATACAAGTTGGAATAGACTGTTTAGTCTAAGTTAAGACCTATATCAAAGGGACCATTCAAGATGCAGTGTTTTAGTATTTATTAAAAGCAGTAATTTATATGGGACACTGATGTCTCACGGTACCGTGAAGTTGATCCAGACAAGGATAAAACAATACAGCAATTAAACAATCGCGATAATTGTGATAATCGGTAGTGATGTTGGTCGCTAGCAAACCCAACAAAGGACCCTAGCTAACAACAGGTCATCTGGGTCAGGAAAGTTTTTTCCTGAGTTTGCATCAGAACAATGACAGTAGATACTATACTTAATTTGTAGTCTTTTGAGATAAAAATATACAACAGCAAATAAGTCAGATAAATATTTGAGGAGTTTTGTAGTGACACTAAATCTAAAATGAGCATTTTCCTTCATATATTTCCTTTTTCTGTTACAGTTGGAAAAGATCATGGCAATGAGACATGTACAAATAATGTAGCAGTGACAGTGACAAGTAAGTATTGCATACATTTGACTGGGTGTGCTGTAAGTGAAACTGGCTTAAATGAGTGCTCACTATTTAATAAGGGCAGACCTAAGCACAATTGTATTCCATTCCATTTTGCATTGTTCTTTTAAGTTGTCTGATAACTAGGCAGTAATAATTAAAGAGTTAATTTGGTGTCTTTTATTTTTCTGAAATAATAAAAACACATATTCTGTGTTATGAATTAAGTAAAATACCAGACTGGAACAATATCACATATCACAACACAAAGGGTGCAACATAATTTCGGGATACTGGAGTATCCTGAAATAGTTATCCTGCATCTTCACAGCAAGCCCGTTATTTCGGACTCACTATTCCGATGTCCCTGTATACCTAATTCTGTGAGAAGTAAGGGACATTTCAGAATAGTGCTTTATTTTGAAATTTGTCTCTGTGTAGACAGCACCAAATGACAAAATAAGGTTTTTCGATATAGTATTGAAATAAGATACGCAATTTGCATAGCTCAAATTGCATATCTTATTTCAGATTATGGTACAGCGTAGACATGCCCAAACAGTCCTACCAAAGAGAAATTAGAGTTATGGCTAAAAATGTCAGCAAACACAAAGCTCAAGATTTTAAAAAGTGACCAGTTATTTTGAATGGGTCACTTTTTGATTGTCCAATTTAAGATTCCTTAAAAAGGCCCAATTTCCTGCCTCTTCCAGAGGCTACTTCAGAAGAATAATGTTTTAGATAGAAAAACAATTTTTAGTTTTAGTTCTCTAAGACAAACTGTTTTATGCATTAATATTTTCTGTAAGCTTGAAGTTCAGCTAGGCCCTCAGATTACCTGGAATGCCATGGCCAGAATTCTTTAATAGCTTATGATTATGACGATACATGAGGAAAAAACTGTTCTCAGGTATGTGTGTGTGTTGATCTTTTATTTTATTTTAATTTTTTTAAAAGAATTATTGACAGTTGAGGAAGAGGTCGATATCAGGGAGCTTTCTCTTGAGGATGGAAAACTAAAATGTAAGTACAGCTGAAAAAATGGAAAAACAGTAACAAACTTCACACAGCACAACTCATCTGCCAGCTTTCAGGTCCAGGAAGGGGGCATAGCCCAGTGAGAGTTGGAGCTTAACAGTAGCTGTTCCTAGGAAACTAAAGGGTACATCTATACAGCAGGGCTAAAGTCAAATTAAACAATGCAACTACGTCAATTGCATAGCTTAAGTCAAAATAGCTTAATTCAGCTTTTGGCGCTGTCTACACAGCAGGAAGTCGAAGGAAGAACACTCTTCCTTCGACTTCCCTTACGCCTCATAAAATGATGGTTAACATGGGTCGGAGTAAGAATATTGACGTTATTTCAGAATAAAGGCTTATAGTGTAGACGCGCACTGTGTTATTTTGGAATGTTGTCGGTTATTCCAAAATAACACTGCTGCATAGATGTACCCTGACAGACTAAAAACTGGCCTATAGACAAGTTTAAAAATTTAAATGCGAGTTCTGAGCACTTCCCAGGCTACCTCCTAGTGATTTTAGGGATCCTTCCCAATTATTGGCTGACTGATATGGGGCCTCCCATTTTCCTTTCTCCAACCTGCTGGATACATTTTTTGTTTTTTGTTTTAAATCTTCGCACTCCAGGGAATCTTTCAAGGTCTCTGTGGCTGATCTCCAAAAAAGGAACTTCCAAGTAGGGAAGAACCAGTAACTTCAGAATCAGACTCCTTTACAATTCTTCTATTGCTGGTTGACATTCAGTCAGGAAAAACTGTCACCCTTGCTAGGATGTTGGAGCATGGAATAAATATTAAACTACTCAGTAAAGCCCATGGACTACACTTTAATGTATTTGTCACATGACTCTGTCCTTGGGAATGTGGCAGCACAACCATCTAAGATAGAATTGGGTAGCAGCTAGTAAAAGGTTAGTTCCCTCTTCTCTGTTAGCACTTGGAGCTTCCTCTGAGCCTCAGCCGCTGACAGGGATTGGAGAGAGTGGAAGGGGGCAGCTTTCCTGGGGCTGGGAGATTCTAAAGGGCTCAGGGCTCTCAACCGCCACTGTTGGCACTGGGGCTGTGGTTGAAGGCCCAATCCCTTTAAATCTCTGCCAGAGCCCTGCACAATATGCCCTGGGCAGCTCTGATTAGTAGCCGGTTAGTCCCAAACCCTCCCCTTCTGCCCAAAGACCTACCTCTTCCAAAGGCACAGCGCTAACCCCTCCAATGCCTTACCCAGAGTCCTAGTGAGTCTGTCAGCCCCACCGTGAGAGTCAATGGTTACAGATGCTACTTTTGGCTAAATCAGGCCCAAGAGTAATCAAGAATATAATTACAAAATATGAACATCGTGTAGTTTGGCCCTTGTTTGTGCTAGAAGAGTACAGCTGAATTAAAAATTGATCTAGTCAAAAGATACAAACCCTTAATGTGACCAAATTTTGCCTGCACTGGACCCATGATGTTGTATTTGGACAATTACAAGTGAGAATAGAGATTATTTTCTTCTGGGTGAACCTTTTACTAAAAAGTTTGGGTCAAATTCTGCTTTGATTTATATCCACTCAATCATATTGGCTAAATGGGTACAACTGGATGTAGAATTTGTGTAGTAGTGTAGGTTATATTTTGTTATTTATTTTACTTTTGGCTTTAGTAAATCTAAAGATAGGAAAGGTGGTTGTGGTGATGTCTTTTAGAGTAATGCTTGTTTAATTTTTTTTCCCTTTCACAGATATACGAATTGAAGTGACTTAGGTAACATCAGCAGCAGAATGTGCCCTTCATTGAATATGTTCTAAAGCTCTGAGGGAAGGCAGTATTTTAAATATTATTTTAAATTTCCTGGCCTGATTTGCCTTTCATTTATACTCATGTAAATTAGGAGCAACTTTACAGAAGCTTAAGCGTCTAATTCTGATGTAAAACTGATCAGAATTAGACTCTCTGTGTACGTATGTGTATTTATTTAAGTTCCTCCATGTCTGATTTGTTAATTACGCATTTTTGTGAATGTTGTTCAGGATTATTTTTAATACTTTCATCAAAAAAGAAAGCACTTTAAGTCCCTGACAAATGTATTTCATCTTGGTTTTAAAATATTCCAAATTTCTCTGAGATCTAAATTCCTTGCTGAGATTCTATCACTTCCAGCCTCTATGGATGAAGCTGTCAACACTTTGACCCACACAAGAATATGGAGGAGGCTGAATATAAGTCATGTGGGTCACCATCACTTCTTATTGCACATTTTAAAATATTGGATCCCATTCAGCATTTGAAGTTGAGAAAAAGCTATTTAATCTGTTTGGCAACATCACTTCCTCTTGGGTTGGAAGTCAGCTGAGTATCTTTTGCACTTTGAAGACATTTGAAGAGAGTTAGAAGTTCTACTGTTTATCGTTACTAAAGATATAGTTAGCACTACCAGTTTGCAACTGGTCACTATTTTGGTCAACTGTCTGAAAGGCAAGACTTTTGACATTCTAGAAGAATAGCCTATGGAGTGGAGTATTTTGGAGATTTCCATCTTTTGAAACAGTTCGGCTGGAACATCTGCTCTTCTACGATACAAAAAAGACTCTAATGAAAACATTTATCATGCATTTTTGGAGCACTTTTGGATTCTAAGTATCATGAAGCCGTGGTTGGTTTTGCAAAGTACCTTCTTTTTTTTGACTACCAATGTGTCATAAATTATTAGTATTATTTATTACAATAAAATTCACAACTATATTTTTAAATAAAGAGGAGTGTTTTGTTTTCTTTGTGTCCTATTTCCTGAGCACTTCCAACTTGTATAACATTTTTTCCTTACATTGGCATGTCAAGAGCCTGCTACGAGGACAAATACTTACTAGAGTATGTGTGTTATTACAATACCTTAAATATCATTAATTGGCACTCAAAGCAACCATTTTCAACCTCTCGTGAAAACCGTCATTTGAGATCTGGAAGCTCACAGTACTCAAGTCTTATTTTCAGACTTAAAGTAGAGAAAGTAAAGGGGATATTAACACCTATAGATAAAGTGTATAAATTCTCCTGCAACTCCAAAATAAACAGAAATCCACAGAGTGAAATTTAGTCCTGGAGATAGGACTACCACTTAAGCCTTCAAAATAGAGCTTAAGTGAAGCTTAAGTGCATAGGTTCTGCTGAGTTCCTAAAATGAATTCAGTATAGGTTCAGCTTAAGTGCATAGGTTCTTCTGAAGAGAATTAATACTCTCTCAGCCCTATTCATTCAAGTCCTCCTGCATAGGATCTGAGTGAGACTTTCTGAAGAAAACAAATACTGACGATAGCATTTGTGAGACTTGACTTTATGAAAAAGTTAGAAAACTTTAAAACAAAGTGGAGCTAGTGTAATCCACACATGCCTAGTGTGGTTCACTGTCCCATGTAGTGGCACTTAGACCACTTACGGCGGGGGATAAGAACAAGGGTGATTTATAGCCTACACTGAGAGCCAGCTGTCTTTATAGCTCAAGCTGTAGAAACTCCTTCACTGAGCTCCCAGGTTCAAATCTACTTGGTGGTGGTTACACTAATACTTAAAACAGGCTGTGTGATTCACTTCAAATATTGCAAAAAGAAGGCAAAAGCCACCAACTCCTCTAGCTACACACCAAACTGCTAGCAAATTGTTGTGTGTTAGGATGAAGCTACAGTACAAAATTTACTGCTGTGTTTTTGAAGTGATTCTGTAATCTTAATGTAAGTGATCAAGTTGCAGTGACCTGAAGATCAAAATGTCTGACAATCCTGGCAATGTTCCCTCTAAACTTTTCCATCCGTGTGTGGAATAATGTTATGTGCACTAAGTCATGTAAGAATGTGCACCACCAGTAAGAAACAAAAAGCTACCTGTTGATGTCTGCTAGACAGCTGGGCGGTACTTGAATCTCTCCTGAGTGGTCACACGAGCTCATATTTTACAGGGAACACTGAATCCTGGCCTCCTGCTTTTAAAGGAAGTCTAGATTCCTTTGTTGGAATCTAGTGATGTGCTGGGCCTGGTCTGTTAAATTGTAGGTGTGGTAGCATCTTCCACATCCTCCACTGCTCGAGTCCAGGGCAATATCAGGAAAGTGCTTTTGTCATACTGATCACAGAAGTCATGGAGGTCACAAGTGTGGCATGGCTATTTTATGATGCGCCATGTGTGCAGCATGGCGGTAAACCTGGCTTAACTACCCCAAGGAGTAGCTTCCTGTGTCACAGGGAACCTCCATTGGCATAGTGCTGATGTAGGAGGTCACATTCTACTTAGCATGTTCCTCCTGCTGGTGTAGGATGGGAAATGGACATGCTGATTAGTTATGAGCACTGTGTCAATGTACCAATGCCCACAACTGCTCTTTTAATGCCCTGATCCATCAGTGGCCAAATTTCCATTTGCTCCAAGGATACAAGATTAGGCTCTACATTCCGAGTCCTACTGCCTGGGAAAAGACCCTAATCTTCTTTTACATGCAAACTTTTTCAGGTCAGTGTTGTGCTGCTCATTTAATACGGACTCTTCATTTTTTAATTTCTCTTTCAGTGTAGCTACTGCTATTTGCATGTTAAAGGTATAACCCTCACACCTTCTGGGTAGAGTTAATTATTTTCCCTTCACTGGCCATGTTTCCCTAAACTGTACAATAAGCATAATATAATATTACGCAACTGATGCATAGTTCCTCATTGTCATACTAGGAGATTTTGTAGAATGTGTTCTCATGGCACCAGCATTTTTACACTTCTTGACATTGTTTATATTTGCAACTTTAATTTTGCAATAACAAACTCTTTTATTTTAATTTCTACAGCTTTTACATGTCCCATAGCAACTCAGTATTAGATGTCTTCTATCCTATATTTCAACACCAGGAGGCTTATACTCATGGGTACGTCTTTCCACTCCCTTCCTGACCCTGGCCTTTCAGTGCAGGGAAAACAGATCAAGCTGCGGTCAAAGGCCAGGGTCCAGACTGGAATGGAAAGATGCACCTGACAGGACACCCTTCTGAGTCCAGCCCTTGAGTACAGCCCCCCTCTACTTTCCCAGCACAGGTTCTCTCTGCCCTTGTTCTGTGCTGAAGGGCCAGGCTCAGGAAGGGTCTCTGGCAGGACAGTCAGTGTTCCCAGGGTGTAGCCTCCCTCCCTTGCAGAGTCTCTGTCAGTGTGCCCAGCAGAGGAGCATAGCTACTGGTTGAGGTGGCTGCTGCAGCCGTGGGAGAGCAAGGCTCTGCAGGGAGCCTGGTCCTGGTAGGGAATATCACCTATGCAGAGCTCTGCCTGCTTCTCCTGCCAGACAGAGCCCCCTCCAAACTCTAGCCTTTCAGCATGGCTCCATCAGGTCTCTGTGACCCCCCCAATAACTTTATTGTATCCCCTGGGGAGGCACATCCCATAGTTTGGGTACCTCTGGCTATAGTGGAGCCAATATTTGGAAATCATACTATGAGCATCATATAACATTAGCTGCAGCATACTTTTACACGCAGTGAGGAAAATGTTCCATACAATTCTGGGCAAAGCATTGGGAACACTAGACGTTCTTCCTGGCCCTAAATGGAAACTAAAAATGAAGCACCTGTATAGATATAAAAGTCAAGGGTAAGGAAAATACACGGGGTAAAATCTCACTTGTGATCCTGATAAAGCCTTTTGTATTTTGTGTTGGTGTAAATCAGGGGTGTCCAAACTTTTTTCAAAGAGGGCCAGATTTGAAGAAGTGAACATGCGTGAGGGCCGTCCCCGCACTCTCAGCCCCAAGGCGGAGGGCCCGCAGGGTCAGAGGCGGGCGGAGAGCGCAGGGCACGCTGGCCTCACGGCGGCCCGGGGGCAGGGCGAACCCGCAGCCGAGCGGGGGAGCGGGGCTGGCTGGAAGCGGCGCGCTGGGCGCGCCAGTTCAAAAGAGCGCTGGGGAGCCAGGAGAGGGGGAGGAAGCGGGGGCCATATTAAATCAGAACACGGGCCGCAATTGGCCCGCGGGCCGGACTTTGGACATGCCTGGTGTAAATTCACCAAGAAACATAGAGGTGAGCGTGACCTGCAGCAGCTCACAGCAACCAATGGACATAAGCAAAACGCACAGGCCAAAGGCACATTCTTTGTCTCTTCAAACACTAAAAATGGCAGAATGGCAGGATGTGTAATTGCGACTGTTTACCATGTAGGAAAACACAGCCTAAATTATAACAGCATGGACTATGGCAATAAGCTTGCTAGTGAAACATATAATGATTCAAATATTGAGAACAAACTGTGTTGAGGAAGAACCCAAGCAGAACTATTTGTGATCCATGTTTTGGCCCCAATGTCTGTGAGGGAGTTGTTTACGGGATTTATTAGCAGAGTTCCCAGAAGAGCACACGTATTTCTCTGTAGGGACGGATGCCTCAAACAAAGGGAACAGGAAGAAGTTTCCAATGTACATACACTATTTCACCATAACAAACAGCGTTCAGTGCAAGCAGCTTGATGTTAATGAAGATGACGGTGAATCTGCAAAAGGCATTCATCCTGATAGTATAAACTGCCTAGAGTAACACCAGCTTAATGTTAATTGCATTACCCTGCTGATAATACAAATGTGAATTATGGCAAACTCAGTTGGGTATATGAGTTGTAATGTACGGACAATAACTACATTTTGAAGCAAAGCTGCCCTTTACACGTACCCCACAATATCTGAAAGTGCTCATGTTGACTTAGAAACAATTGTGTGGAAAATTTATAGCAATTTTTCTGTATGCACAATATGCAGAGTTTTGAGTTAGTTGACATTGAATAGAAAGAAGTATTGCAATCTGCCAATACAAGGTGGCTATCCCTTAACCCAGCAGTTAATCAACTTTACTGCAAGTCACTACCAAAGGCTTGTCTTGTAGCATTAAAGAACAAGTTGCCATAAGATGGCGAGAATGCGTGAATATGTATTTTTCCACAACCCGGCTTGTGTCTTTGTTGTACTTGTGAGAAGGTTGGAGGAATCAAAGCTATGCATTGCTGACATGTAAACAGAAATATGCCATTTTAAGTTGAAGATGCTGAATGAGAAGGAGGATTTGGTTTTTTGGATTCTAAGCAAACAACTGATGGAAAAGCTACTACTACAACAAAAAGTGAAGGCAAAATAATCCTTCATTATGTTTTAAGACACTGTTTTGTACATCAAACAATGGTTTGATTGATTTCCTGATAATGCAATGACGAAGCTGAAACACATGGATCTCTATGAGAAGCTTAGTTTCTCAGATCATGAGGACATAGCAGATGCACTCAAAATGAGGCAAATCATAAGCATGGACCAGCTGAGGCTCAGTGAGGAATTCTGTATCAGCTGAGATGCAATGAAAACATCAAGAAAAGACATTTTCAAATCTATCAATGAAAAATAGATGCCTGTCTTTTTGAAGTGTGGAAAGAAACTTGAAAAACTTGTTCTAAATGGGGTAGTTTGTACTTAGTGAATCAAGATCAAATGCTTTGGAGAGAGGATATTTTCATTAAGATATATATATATATATTAGAGAGTTTCTGCATCTGTCCATGAGTCTGTCCATCCATCCATCTGTGAGGTCGCTTGTTCAAGAGCTCCTCCAAAACGGTATTAGCTAGGATCACCGAATTTGGCATGTAATTGCCTCTGATCCTAACTTATAGCAAGGTCAAGGTTTGGTTGTGCCAGGAATCTGATTGTTTTCCATAACATAGAAAGGGAGGCAGCTAAAAGCAAGGACAGCTGTGCTCTGCAAACGACCATAGGAGACGGCTGCACCAGGAAGAGAGTGGCCAACTGGGGCAAGAACTCTCTTTATTGCCAGCCACCAGAGGATGGTGCAGCTGCAGCTGCAGCACCATCCTGGCCAAACCAGGAAGCCCTGAACAGCTACAGGGCTCCCAATTCCCTACTCTGACTCCTGCACTCCCACATACACCACCCACCCCCTTCCCTGAAGGATGTGAGCAATGCCGGGTAAGTTTTCTAGTGGGGAATAAATGGTCTGACATAAGGAAAAGATGCATCTAGATTTAATTAATAGTGAACTCCAAATTTGCATAAGCTTCCAGGAATTCTGCAAAGATTTCTTCATCTCTGTACAACAAGACTGGGAGTTTCTGAGTGCTGCAGCAAGCAGCAAGAAATATCCCTGGCAAATGTAGGTAATTAATAATGATTATTTTATTTTATTATCATCCTCATATCTGGCAAAGGAGTAGGGCAGAGTGTTAAGAAAGCAGCCCCTTAGTTTTGAAATACTGTATTGGCAACTGTAAGTGACACAAGCTTTCTCTGCCTGGCTGCATTGATTTTAAATGATACCACACTATAGAAGGTGTCAAGTATTAGAGGGGTAGCCGTGTTAGTCTGGATCTGCAAAAGCAACAAGGAGTCCTGTAGCACCTTATAAACTAACAGACGTATTGGAGCATAAGCTTTTGTGGGCAAATACCCACTTTGTCAGATGCATGTCAGATGCCCATGAAAGCTTATGCTCCCCTACATCTGTTAGTCTATAAGGTGCTACAGGACTCCTTGTCACCTTCACACTATAGAATCACACTGCAGCAGGATGTTCTGCCCCTTTTAGGGCCTGCAGAGCCTGGGAGTAACCAATCCCGGCCTAAGAAGAAACCCAGCAAATCCAGCTAAGCATTGGCTCTGGTTCCCAGGGGCAGTAAAAGAAGCTGAAGCATGTGTGGTCCCCTTACTATAGGAGCCTCTGACTTTCAGTGGGAGGATCCCTTGTGCTGCAGTCTAACCCTAAACTAGAGACTACAACTCCCATGATCCTCTGGGAAAAAGAAGCACACAGTGGCTGCTCTTCCAGGCCATGCAGACAGAGAGTTGATGGGCTCCATTTTGGAGAGAGGAGCCAGGCTGCTGGGGTGGAGCCTTTTCCAGGTCAAGAACTGTCGGGCTGGAGCTAGACCCTGTTACTGAGAGCTTGGATCTAGCAGGCTGCTTCAGGGGCTGTTGGTGATTGTCCCTGGATGGAAGAGACTTTGGCTGAGAAGGGCCTACATAAACCTGCATAGAAGGTACTTTATGTAACTGTGACTCTTTGGGAAAGTGCTGCCTGGGATGGAGCCCAGAAAAAAGACTGACTCTGGGTCCAAAGAGAAGCAGAGTGATCTGCCCAGTGAACCAAAGTTGCTGGATTGCCTTGCCTGGACAGACTGCTTATCTTGGACTGACACACAGAACCTGCACAGTGCTGTCTCCACTCCAGCTGCAGACCTTCAAGCGCACCCACGCAAGCGTCTGGGACTCTGAATCCAGAGAAGTACACACACTGGCACTGGGTAAATGGTGGCAGGGTAAATGCCAGTTAGATAAGTTTTCTTTATTTCTGTGTACTTTTGTTAATTTATTTTATTCACTTTTAATCTGTTAAACCCTGTTTCTTTAAATTGTTAAGTAAAGGTGTGTTAATTCTAATTTAAACAATTAGATGTATATAATTTATAATTGTTGCTTTGGAGTTAGATCCAGATTATTACTGGAATCATTTTATTCCTGGAGGCTCCCAAGGCACACCGTTAAGTATGTACAGGGTCAGCCGGGTGGAGGCACCGCCATTGTATGAGTGGATATGGAATCCCCAGCTATTCATCACCACCACTGGGGATTCCAGGATCTCCTTTACTCAGGATCTCCTTTTATGTTTAAAAACATCAGGCACCCAGATGAGCATGACCTGCTCCTGAGTAAACCAGGGAGAAAAGAGGAATTACAGGTGGTTTAGGCCCCATGGTTCCCTGCAAAGTGAGGAGAAAGCCGTGACCCTTGAGCTACTGAAAGATTAGGTAGCATCACTGCTGCGAGTCATCACTTTTATTACATACTTTTTTACATTCATGTGACAGAAGCATGAAAGGGTTTGCATAAAACAGAGTTGGGTTTGGCTGTTTTCTCCCCCCCCCACCCCCACCCCCGAGCTGCTGTTGCCAGTTTTAGTGGGATATAGGGTTTGCAGGAGTCTCATTTTCAGCTGGAAAAGGGTCCCTGGTGGCGCCAGTCAGCAGGACTGATCGAGCCATTAAAAGTCTGGTTGATGGCGCAGCAGGGCTTAAGCAGGCTCCCTGCCTATGATGGCTCCACACAGCTCCCTGAAATGGCCAGCAACTTCCTCCAGCTCTTAGGCGGAGGGGCAGCCTGCGCACACTTCCACCTTGCCCAGTGCTGCCTCTTAGCAATGGGAGATGCGTGGGCTGTGCCTGTGGGTGCAAGCAGCACACACCATGCCACACTGCCTGGCTGTGCCTCTGACTAGGGGCCAGGCATGGTGGCCACTTCTGGGAATAGTGTGGAGCCAGAGCGGCAGGGAGCCTGCATTAGCCCCACTGGCTGCTAGATGGGAGACACCTGAGGTAAGTGCTGCCGGACTGGAGCCCATACCATGAACCCCCTGGACCCAGTCATAGCCCTCTCCTGCACTCTAACTCCTACCTACACCTCGCACACCTACCTGCACCCCAAATCTCTGTCCCAGCTCCTGTACCCTCACTCCCTCCTGGAGCCTGCACCCCTTCCTGCACCCCAAATCCCTGGGCCCTATGTCAGAACCACTTCATACACCCCAAAATCCTCATTGGAGCCCCACTCCAAAGCCTGCAACCCCAGCTGGAGACCTCACCTCCACCCACACTACAAAACCCTGCCCCAGCCTGATGCCCCCTTCTGAATCCTGAACCTCTCATTTCTGGCCCCAGCCAGAGCCCAGACCCCCCCCCTCCTGCCCAGACCAGTGAAAGTGAGTGGGTGGGGGAGAACAAGCGATAGAGCGAGAGGGGTTGGAACGAGAGGGGCTCCACAAAGGGATGGGGCAGTGGCAAGTCCCCAGGGAAGGGTTGAGGAAGGAAGAGTGGCAAGAGTGTTTGGTTTGTGCATTTAGAAAGTTGGCAACCCTAGTTGGCCATGTTCTTGGAGGTTTCATCATATGACATACTCTTTATTTAAAGATTAATATTTAATTCCTTGGGCCTCCAGGACAATCCTAGAGGGTTGGCAACCCTAGTTAGGGTCACCGAGCCCCACCAACCATACCTAGTTGCTGTATGTTAGTGGTTTAAGGTACCAAGGATGAAATTGTAGGTGTTTATAATTTGGGGTTTATTGCTATTACTATTATATATTTTATTTTTTAACTTAGTGGGAAAACATTTTCTTGCCTGCTTCAGCCAATAAAGCCTGAAAGACTCTTCCTCCAATTTTACAAACTTCCCACCTATGGGTATGTCTACACTACGCCCCTAGTTCGAACTAGGGGGGGTAATGTAGTCATACGGAATTGCAAATGAAGCCCAGGATTTGAATTTCCCGGGCTTCATTTGCATAAAGCCGGCCGGCGCCATTTTTAAATGCCGGCTAGGTCAGACCCTAGGTCGGACCTAGTTCCACGTTCCTCGTTCCACGAGGCGTACATCCGAACTAGCTAGTCCGTGCCGCGTGTAGCCGCGCGGCACGGGGTCCGACCTAGCCGGCTTTATGCAAATGAAGCCCGGGAAATTCAAATCCTGGGCTTCATTTGCAATTCCGTATGACTACATTACCCCCCCTAGTTCGAACTAGGGGGGTAGTGTAGACATAAATACCCTAAAATCAGTTTTGGCCTAAAATCAGACATGTCAGGGTTGGAGCTCAAAGAACATTTTAATAATTTATTTCTTTAGACATATCTCTCAACAGTCCCTCATTTTGACAGATATTACACATGTATGTCCTAAGGTTACCTCACACATTTGGTGTCCTCTCACATCCATGGTAAAAAATGATTTATATTAGAAATGTAGATTCATGAAAGAGAGGTTATAGAAAGAGTTGTTTGTTTAGAAAAATCCCACATACAGTCATCTCCTGGAATCCTGAGCACTTGATATCAACAGGAGTTTACAGTAACAAGACTCAGGATTTGACCCCAGATGATAAATATATAGGTTCAGTTATGAAGTCATGTTACTAATGAATTGTTTTGAAAGTAATCTCCATCTCCATTTGCTCATTCCTAGCAATCTTGATAAGCCAATCGGTCTGTGCGTCTGAGAGAAAGCCAACCCATGCAATAAATGGAGATTGATATTTTGTCCTTTCATTAAAGGAGTGAAATGTTGGTTCCTTCATGAACTAAGATAGTGAGAGAGAACCTTTGCTGTTCAGATAAGATTCTGCTTTTGCACTTCTTTTACCTAAAATCTATACTTAATAATAGTTACGCATGTAATATGCGCACTCTCTGTTTCAGTGAGTATAGTTTGCACAATCAGTGAGTGACTGGTTAGCTTTCTGAAGATCTAGAAATAAAGCAAGTCTTAGAGGGGTAGTCATGTTAGTCTGTATCTGAAAAAGCAACGAGGAGTGCTGTGGCACATTAAAGACTAACGGATTTATTTGGACATAAGCTTTCATGGGTCAAAACCACTTCATCAGATGCATGGAGACCCTTCGTCTGCATGCATCTGATGAAATGGTTTTGACTCATGAAAGCTTATGCCCAAATAAATCTGGGGTGATTTTGATCCACGGTTTATGCCCACGTAAAACCCTGAAGTGGTTTATTGCCAAATAAACCCTCCATGCATCTGACAAAGTGATTTTGACCCACAAAAGCATATGCACTAATAAATCTGTTAGTTTTTAATGTGCCACAGGATTTCTTGTTGTTTTTATAGAAATAAAGCAGTGAGTCATACCAGGGTGTTCACTAACAGATTATTTTTGCATCCCAGAGTCCAAGTGGTTTCAAACGCCCAAGGAATGCCACAGTAAGGTAACAAGATTGCAAGTGTGAAAGTTTGGAACCAGGCTAAAGGGGGAGGTTACAGGGTCTTACGCAAGACAAAGACCCAAAGTGGGGACGGTACTGATAATATCAGGATGTCTGATCACCCTATCCCTCAGTAGCTTGTAGATTTGAAGTTGTTATAAACTAATTTGGTGGCTTATTATGCAATTTATCCTTTCATTATGTTACCATAGAATTATTATCATTATTTATTATTAGTAGCGGTAGAAGGATAAACATAATAAGAAAAATAGAATTGCAACTGTGGGAAGATAGGGTTTGATAAATTGGCCTGGGGCATGTGGATTTGGAAATGCAGGAAAGGTATTTATGGCAATGCTTTGTGATCCTAGTTTTACATGATATGCCTAAGGCGTACTACATTTACTCATTCATGGCTGATAGTGGTAGAACTGTAGTAATGTGTATTTTTTAGGGCTTGTCTGCACAAGGAAATTGTAACTGTAGACAAGTCCATAAATCTTCCAGTTACATAATCTAAGAAATCCTATGTGTTGTAACTATACTTTTAAATTAATATGGCAGTAAGAGAGTGTTAAAAAGAAGAAATTGCAAGGCAAACAGTTCTCTGAGCAGCTAGCTAAAGTTTGCTTTGGACTGATGCCAGTTACTTTTTGCATCATCATGTTTGACTTAACTGTGAATTAATATGCGCTGTGTGGGAGAGAGGAAAGAATTTGAGCACAATAAACTCAAATGAATTCTTGGTGCAATTTCTCCAAGGTCAATAGAGTTACCCCAGGGATGTGCTTAAGTAAAATCTTTTAACACCTGGTCACCCTAACACAGGAGTGGGGATCCAGCCCCCAAGCCTCAGCGATCCTCCACATTGGGGAGCCGTGCTGGCACTCCAGCCCCCCTGTCATCCACCCACAGGAATGGAGCCCACAGAGTTTACTAGCCTGGGCCCCCACAAAGCTCTGGGGTGCGAATGGAATGTGAGGAGTGTCTATTTCCTTCTCAGTCAGGGGCTTCTCACTTTGCTTCTCACCTGTGTGTGGCCCTCAACTGATTTTTCTGTGGGTCAGCAGCCTCTGACCCAAAAAGGTTCCCCACCATTGCCCTAACACAAAGTATGACTGCTTTTGAAAATGGGTTGATAACATGCTCTAGAGTCTAGAACTATTAAATGGAAACTGTTTCAAAATCAGCGTCAAGCATGCACTCTTCCAGTGCTCTACACATGGCTCTGCAATGTGATTGGGAAAAAAAATGCTTAGTAAGACAGACCTGTTTACTAAGAAATGTACTGGGTTACATTTCCTAAAACAGTTCATAATGTGAGTGTGATGAAGGCAATGCAAAGTCCTAAAATGACAAAAATGAAAATGTGTGAAAGGAGAGTCCCCATTTGGCACCTAAATGCCAGCACTGGTATTGGGCATGATAGGAAGATAAGGAACTATATACAGTGCTGTCTTTGCCTTTCTCAGATTTCCTGAATCCAAGATATCTGAGTAACAGAAAATAGCCTGAATTTAAAACCGTAAAAGGCAAAAGAACTTCCTCCATCGAATCAGTTTACTGTAAAACCAAAGCAGATCTATGAAAATTTGTCAGACCTTGACAAATGATGATAGTTAAGAATGTGTCATCTCTTCTGGACATGATTTGTAGGAAATGAGCTGTAGTACTAAGAAGAGATGAAAACTCAAGGATAGAATGACTGAGTTACACAAGACTGTTCTTTAAACCAGTAAAAGTAACATTGCAGAGAGAGCTAGCTGTGCTGATATGGCTACATACTGACCTTGCTGAACAGTGAAATACAGCACATACAGGCACACAACTCTGCTGCACCCCAAAATACACTTTCAGGAGGCCCTGATGGCAGTGGAACCCCTCCACTAGTGAGAGGAGCTTTTTAAACACAGTGGAGTCAGAGCAGTGCATCTCTGATGCATGAGGGAGTAGGAATCTAGGATTGCACTTACAAACAGATATTTCCAGTGCATTGCAGAGCCCACCTTCTAGGTCTTCACTACACCTTAGCATGCAGGATTTGGCGGGCACAGAGCTAGGATGAGGGAGTGTATTCACAAGACAAATGACACACACACTCCATGTAGATCGGGGTAGGCAATGATTTTTCCGGTTGAATGGTGGGGGTACTACATGAATTTTGATAGGTGGTCATGGGCTAGTGCCAGGGTCTACAGAGAGAGAGAGAGAAAGATACTCTGTGTGTGAGAGACAGACTTTGTAATACAGATTTAATGTGTGGCACAGAGACGGAAGCATGTGTGTGTGACGGTGACTGAGAGTGGCATAGACTGGGTGTGTCTGAGTGACACACACTGTGTGTGCTGACCACTGCTGGGTAAGTTTCCGAGAAGCCACAAGCTGTCTCTTTAAGACAGGGAAAGCTGTCCTGCACTTTGTCTGCCCCTTCCCCTGCTCTGTGGAGATAGGGCATGGAGGGAAAGCTTATGTGTGAGCCACAGCATGAGCACTGAAAATTTGTAACTCCCACTGGGCAGATTTGAAGCTGGGGCCTCTGATGCTTCATGGAGGAGCCTCTTCAGCTTGAGCTATAAAGCCAGCTGGCTCTCAGCTTAGGCTGTAGAGCTCCCTTGTACTTATCTCTCCCTAAGTGGTCTAAGTGCCTCTACATGGGACAGAGAACCACACTAGGGCTATGTCTACACTCGCGGCTGCTTGCGCAAGAACATCTTGCGCAAGAGTTCTTGTGCAAGAAGTCTTGCACAAGAAAACGTCCACACTGCCATGTGCAAGCTGTGCTTTTGCACAAGAGCGCACATGGCAGTGTGGACGCTCTCTTGCGCAAGAAAGCTCTGATGGCCATTTTAGCCATAGGGCTTTCTTGTGCAAGAAATCCCTTCTGAGCATCCACACTGCCCTCTTGCGCAAGAGCTCCTGCGCAAGAGGGCTTACACCTGTCAAAAAAGAGCGTAGCTCTTGCGCAAGGAGCCCCCTCTTACCACGCCGTACTGTAAATTTACTTGTGTAGATTTCCTTGCATAAGAGCAGGTGGGCAGTGTGGACACTCTGCAGATTCTTGCACAAGAATGGCCGTACTTGCGCAAGAAGCCGCAAGTGTAGACATAGCCTCGGTGTGTGGGTTTATCATGTGGTTTTATTTATTTTAGATCCAAGGGAAACCAGGACACTCCAGGGATACTTGACCACTTTCTTATTCATTGCAAACTTTAAGCAGTTAAAACAGTTGTTTCAATTTTACAAGCCTTAAAAAAAATTAAATACTATAAATTCTAAAGCAATTAATATAGCACAAAGCAATGAAAAAGCAATTAATAGAAGAACTACTATAATACGATAATAAAGCCTAGTTCACTGGCACTTCTCCCATATGCTACCTACAGTACCAGGCAGGAGGCCATGGTTCCTTTTTTTCCCACACAGTGGAACGCCATGCACTGGGTCGCCGGTGTGAAGGGCCTATTTACTTCTAATTACATTGAGCAGGACCTGTGGGTTAATCCTGCCCATTCCCTCCCCTCGACTGTTCTTACTAATCCCATTTTATAGCAAAGTGAGACTTGGTCGTTCTAATAATATTTACCCACTGATTATGTATTGTGTAGGATATGTAAAATGCCCAGTGCCCATATTTGGAGTACATCTTACTCAGGATATTGCTGCTATGTGCGTAGTTGATAGTTGTATGGCTGCATCTGTCATTTTTGCTAATCAGAAACGGAAGTACCCGTATAAAGTTGTTTGTCGTGTATTCTTGACATGGTCTTGTGTACCATGCTTAATCTGCATTGTTGTTCAAAACATTCCTGCCTCTCAGTTTTTTCCCTTGACCTTGCCTGTGTGCGTATGTGCACCAGACTTGAGACAGGCCTGGGTTTTGCTTTTTAGAGATCCACACTTTGGACAAAGCAGACATCACCATTTATTGTCAAGGCAGGGCTGTTCAGGCTCCCCTACAGGATTATATGCTGCCTCTTAAGACAGGCACTTATCTGAGGCACTTGACTTACCAACCTTCAGACTGGAACAGCTCCATTGTATCTCTCTCTCTCTTTCCGACTCCTGCTCTGCAGAGATGGGGGACACCCTGACTTCAGCAATCCCCTCTCCTCTCCCCTCTGCACAAGTAGCAGAAGAATCCTGGGAGCAGAGTGGCTGCAGGATGGAGCAAGCTTGCGGGGAGGAGCAGCTGAACACACGCTGACAGCAGTAAGTGTGCACGCTCGGCTAATCAACTGGGTGAGCTAGAGAGAGAAATGCTTGGCGGGCCAGATCCAGCCCCTGGGCCTGATTTTGCCACCTCTGATGTAGATGGATTGGAGCAGCCACATGACTCCATCACAAGATTGGGAGCCAAAAACTCATTTCTTCTTGTCTCAGCTCTTACAAGACAGTTCTTTATTGTCCTTGGACAAGTCATTTAACCTCTCTGGCTCCATCGGTAAAATGGGGGGTGTTCTTATTTGAGACTGGTATTTTTATAATGGAGATTGCCTCTCTCCTAGAACTGGAAGGGACCTTGTAAGGTCATCAAGTCCAGTGCCCTGGCTTTAGAGCAGGACTATGTATCATCCCTAATGAATTTTTGCCCCAAATCCCTAAACAGCCTCTACAAGGATTGAACTCACAACCCTGGGTTTAGCAGGCAAATGCTCAAACCACTGAGCTATCCCACCCCCTTATGAGTGCTATAAGCATGGGGCTTTGTCACAGGCTAGCCTCTGCTCTGTATATCATACAGTCTAATTTAGATACAACATTGCATGATACATGGAATATGTCAATGAATAGTGGGGAAGGAGGGAGTGTGGTTTATACAAATGAAGGCCATCATGAGATTGTTTGCATTTGTATAGCACATGATGAGTTTCTTCCTTTATTTTTTTCTACATGAGATTTGATTAGGTTACCCTGGAAAGGTAGGTCCTTGTTAGAGAGACTGGGAAATTAAGTGGGTTTTGAGGAAAGGCAGTAGAGAGCTTCCTTTCTTTGCAAGAGAGTTTATTAGTGTTTGTAAAGCACTTTGAACATGCTATAGAAACATTAGGTATTCCTTCTGCAGAGAAGAGTCATGTAAGCTTTGCTGATGTGGATTAAGAAAGGTGAGTAAGAGAGTCTGTGGTTTCACAATGACGGATGAATGATCATAGGGATATTAACGTTGTGGCCAGACTCTGCCCCCTATTGCACCACACACATGTACATGTTATTTTTCATGTGTTACCCAACAGCAGAATTTGACATAATCAGCTTGCCATGTGTTTTGAATATGTTTTTAAATAAGTGTTTATTTTCTTAGAACAGCCCCGCAAAATAGTGACTGGCTTAGACAGTCAAAATGAAACTGGAACATGTGCCTGCCCATTCCTGTGAAAGATGGGTGGTTTCCTTTTGATGCAAGCTTTTGTTTTTAAACGCATTCAGAAAGTAAATGGACCATTACTGGCGGCATAAAGTGCTGGGGGAATGCTATTCTTTTCCCCCTCTGATGTTCTTGTGGTATTGTACAAATAGATTAGGGGTGCTTTGTCTTGGAAATCTTGACAATTTCAACTGCTGTATTGTCCCTGATTCTTCCAACAGCTACATGGGTCCGATGTGAGTATAATGCTGCTAAAATGTAAAATAATTTCTGCTGCATTTTGAG